ACCCTGCTGCCAAGGACAGACGGATCCCTTGCACCAGAGGTTTCATCTTATTGCTTCCAAAGTTTTTTTGGAAATCAGATTCCATCAGATTAGGCTGAGGCGGCCTATCCTTTCTTTAAACTACAAGCCCCTTGTCTGCCTTTTCTTGTGCTAATTATACTAGTTTCCCTCTATTCAGCACTGGTTAGCCCTTATCTTGAGTACTGTGTCCAGTTCTGGACACCACACTTTGAGAAGGATGGCAACAAATTGGAACAAGTTCAGAGGAGGGCGACAAGGATGATGATCAGGGGGGCTGGGAACCAAGCCTTATGAGGAAAGGCTGAAAGAATTGGGCATGTTTAGCATTGAGAAAAGAAGATTGAGGGGTGATAGGAGAGCAGTCTTCAAAGATTTGAAAGGCTGTCTTGAGGCGCAAGATCTGTTCTCGCTCATCCCAGAGCGCAGGACACGCAGCGATGGGCTCAAGTTACAGGAAGCCAGATTTTGGTTGAATATCAGGAAAAACTTCATAACAGTTAGAGCAGTACGACAAGGGAACCAGTTTTCTTTGGGAGGTGGTGAGTTCACTAAAGTTGAAGGCATTCAAGAGAAATGTAGACAACTACTTGGCAGATCTGCTTAGATTTGGATTCCTTCCTTGAGCAGGGGGTTGGATTGGATGGCCTCAGAGGCCCCTTCCAACTTCATTCTTCTTGGACTCTATGATTCTATTATTTAATTTTTATACTGCCAATCTATTGGCACATCGCTACTCTGGGCAGTTTACAAACTTGGAGCATAAACCTAAGAGCCACCCCGCTCCCACCCAACCCAAATAATCCAAAAACAAACCCACAAAAAGCCATTATTCTGTGATTCTATGATTCTCCTAATGCCATTAGGAATTCTGTTGTGAGACTTGTTGGGGACAAATATTGTTTCATATCCCGATCTCTTTTCAGTCTGAACGTCTTGAGTGTCCTAGGCAACGATGCTGCCCGAGTATGAGCTGTAGCCTTATTCCTTATGTTCTTACATTTGATTGACAGGCCCCCAAAATGGCAAGGCACAAGAAGGAAGGAGGCGGGTCTAATGTCTTCTCCATGTTTGATCAAAGTCAGATCCAGGAATTTAAGGAGGTACGTTCTTTCTAATGCCATGAGCTGGGAGGCTCTGTGGAATGGTTAATTAATTTTAGTCCATACATGTTTTGTCGTGCAGGCTTCCTAAGGTAAGGGGTTTGTCATGGAAATGGAAACCCAAGGAGACACACAAAACATTCCCCAGTCAGAGCCAGAAGTTTGGTTTCCCACAAATATGAATTATTCATGGCCAAATGCATAGGTGAGAAAGATTATTTTCTTGTACTACAGGTTCCAGATTCCTTCAGCCATTAAGGGCAGTGTTTGAGCCTTCTACAGAATTCTGGGAACTGTAGTCTATAAAAGTAAAAATCCCAAGGTTTTGTATTTCTTTCTGAATCTCTGAATGCTGCTAGAAGTGGCCGTTGTGGCTGTGAAGGACCCTACTGAATGACAACAAAAAATGGTTTGCTTTATAGAAACAATACAGTCACTCCCTTATTCTTATATTCGTGGCAAAAGAGGGCTTGGAAGTCCCCTAGATACATTTCTTTGAAGCCAGCTATCAGTTTTCTTGCTTTCACTTTAGCTCCTTACTAGAGATGGGCACGGAACAGGAAAAAAATCAGTTCATGATGGTTGGTGGTCGTCGCTATTCACAAACTATGACCCACAAACTTTCAAACAAAACGAATCGTTTTGTGGTACATGGGATTTGGAACTCCTAGGAGTGGTTGTTAGAGACACCAAATTCACAGTGAGTCTTCGGCTGCCTCTCCTCCCCACCCTCTATAAGTCTAGCCAAGACTGGATTTGGGTTGTCCGAGTTATAACCCACATACCTGTCATCAATGCTGATCATAGCTTGGTGTTTCCTTTCACTCCCGGCAGGCATTTCTTCAAAGCACCCTAAAGCAAGCCACAGAATGGCCCAATTCGTGGGGGTTTTTTTTGGGGGGGGTTCATGGTTCGTTTTGTGCCCGTTTCTAGTCCTTACCCTTGCTCAAGGTCAGCCATGGCTGGCTTTCCCAGTATGTGGCAGTCAGTGGCAGGCTAGGATTCAGGACCTTGGCTAGCTCCCAAGTGACATACTGCTTAAAGGAAGTTTGGAGGCTGTTGACCCTGCTTGGGTCAGTTTGACCCCCCTCAGGCTCTGCTTCCTTCCAGGAGAGAAGAGACTGAGAACCATAAAGAGATAATCCCAGATAGTCCAACACATTGCCCTGTTGCTTCTTGGCCAACCCCTTCCCTTCTCATTGCATCCACTGGTATGCAACCCAAGGTTTCCTCAAGAGTCGTTTCCTTCTCTTCACAGTCCTGATAGATAATGTCCTCCAGATAATGTTCACAGGATGGTGGTAGGGGGACACATTTGAGGCTCCCACCTCATAGGTTAAGTCACTCGCACCTGGTCTACTCTTCCAAAAAAATCCCCCAACATGAGATAAGAAACTATTGCAGAGTTTTGAATTTTTAGTTAAATTTCTTTAGCTGTGCAGTAGAAGTACCCATTCACTGGCACTTGCAGTGTCAATAACTCACTCAGACATTAGTAGGAGAAAGAATAAAAGATTCCATTTACTGACAGTTGAACAGATCAAAGAGCAAACTGGCAAACATGACTGCTTTCAGCAACAGACTTCAATAGACCCCCTGCTTCCAACAAACTTCTGAGAGTGGGGGGGGAGCACTGAGCAGAGAGGTGGGGCTCTCTTTGCATTCAGGAGCAGGGAAAGAAGGATGGGTTAGTGCAGGACAGATGGACAGTCATCCCCACCCAGAACGGTCCCTTCCAGTCACACCTTCTCCAGGCTGCCTACAAGGTTGCAAAAACTCCCACGGAAACATCAGTGTGACCACAAACAATTTAATGCTAGCCTGGCGGTGTATGTGGAACCACTAATGCTTGACGGCGGGATTATGATGTACATTTCTTTACCAGAAGAAGTGCTTTCTGGAGGCTTGAATGGATGTGACAAGGGTAATAATCACAGGATGTTCCCATTTTTATGAATATAACGACAGTCCTGTATTTATTTAGCCCAGCTACTAGTCATGTCTACCAGTCTACTCCCCCCCTTTTTTTTGTTTATTGATAGGCATTCACAATTATGGATCAGAACCGAGATGGCTTCATTGACAAAGCTGACCTCAGAGACACTTTTGCAGCACTTGGTAAGTTTATTATTATTATTATTTACAAAACTCTGACATTTTATGATAAGCTTTTAAAGGAT